CCCCAAAACCCCAAAACCCCAAAACCCCAAAACCCCTGTTTAAGAAAAAGTCGTTGAAACTTGACAAAATTTAAAATAACTGTAAAATTAACGATTTTAGTAAAATGATAGACCAAGTAGCCGAAGTATTAGGCTGGATGCAGCAAAAAGATGGTAGTAGACTTAGAGATGCAGAGAACTTTATCCAAGAAGTAAGCCTCTTTCATAGTTTTGAAAAATGTTTTCAACAATCACACTTATCAGAATTCTTCATCTTACTAATTTACTTTAGAATTCAAATAAAGAGGGATTCCTACCGTGCTTATTGGAGATCACAGGAGATTCGAGGTATAATGGCTCAGACTCAGAAGTCAATATTGCAATGGGCGCTGTAACCATCCTCAGAAACCATATTGATGAAAGATGGGACCTAGATGATATTTCTGAGAAGGATAGAACAATTCTGAGAGACAATATAGTTCCTACCATGGGACAATGAACAGACCTAACCATCATGTATAGTCTCGAAGATTGTGTTCAGACAATTGCATTCGAGGACTATCCCCAAAATTGGAGTGGAGCCCTTGAACAAATCGGAGAAAGAATGGTTGATGAAGATCCCTTGATTCAATACTCCTCTCTATGAGCCCTAAAAGCTATAGTAAAGAAATATCAGTCCAAGCTTGGAGCAGAGAGGAACAATCTGCTTGAGATTACCAGGAACTCCTTCGATGTTCTCGAATCTTTATTCGAGAGTCATCTTGGAATATTCAATGACACTTCAGTACTAATCCTGACAGTGTTAACAAAAATCTTCTTTTATGCAAACTATGTAGTAAAATTTGGAATTTATTGATTATATAGATCGAGATTGACCTCCACCAAATCGAAACAGGCAAGATCCAAAAATGGATCAGCTTTTTCACAGATATTATGAACAGAGAGTTTGAAGATTTGGAGGTCAATGAGGATGATGCATCCAAAATCGAAGAAAAAGAAAAGGATTACAGAACAATCCTGCTTGGAAGCGTCTGCCAAGCTTCGTATAGACTCCTTCAAAAGTTTGGAAACAAGAGAATTTATAGAAAGAAACCAGAGTTTGCTGATTACTACATTAAAGAACTCGCTGAGCCTTGTATGATGGCCCATTTAAATATTATCTCTAAGAAGGATAAGTTCGTTGGAAGAAAAGCAAGATATTTTTCACTCAGATTCATTGAACTCTCAATTCAAAATAAAGGAGTTAACAGTTTGATAGAACCTCACATGGAGCATCTCCTGAAAGACTATATCATGCCTCTTGTAGGAATGAGTGTGCATGATGCTATTGAATTCAGAGATAACCCAGGGGAGAGTATCAGAAAAGAGCTTTCTTCAGACCCTGCTCAAAGTGATAACTGTCCAAAAGTTGCTGCAAAGGGGCTCTTAGTTGAGCTTGTAAAATATATTCCAAACAAAACTTATACATCTCCTCCACTGCTAGAAACCTGCTTAGAAATAATCATGGACCATCTGAATGAGTACAAGAAAGATCCAGATATGGATTTCAGAGTGAAAGATGCTTGTCTCTATGCTTTATATTCAATTGCCCCTGTTATTGATGATTATCAAGCATTCCTCGATCACATCGAAGACATCCTTAATGAGCATGTCTTATGAGAACTTAATGGAGACAATGACTTCCTGAAAGCAAGAGCTTTGCTCTTCTATAATGAGATCACTAGCAGACTTGATCTTGAGAATCCAGAATCAACTGAAGAATATCTTAGCTTGCTCTGATCAAACCTAGACAAATCTCAGTGTCTAAATGTCAGAGTTTACGCCCTTTCCTGCATCAAGCAGATGTGCAACCAAGACAAAGGAGAGGAATACCTTAGAGATAAAGTTGGAAACCTCCTTGAAATTAATCTAGAAGTCTTAGATGAGTTCTTCATCGAAGATTTGATCGAAACTCTAAATGAAATCGTTCATGTTTTTAACAAAGAAGCTATCCCATTTGCTCTTGATGTATGTACAAGACTGACAGAAGCTTACCAGGATATTATGACTCAGCTTGGAACTAGTGATACAGAGCTCGAAAATTCCAAGATGGCCAACACTGCCAATGGGTGCATCAATGCCATCTATAGATTAATCACAAGTATTGGCACTCAAGGCAAGCCAGAGGATAGAGAAGTCATTATGAAAATTGAAGAAAATTCTCACGATATTCTATTCCATTCCTTAGACCTCAAATATTCAGATGTACATGAATCAGTGATGACTTGCATTGGAGCAATAACTTTCTACTGTGAAAATGTGACTCCTAATCTCTGGCAGTTATTTGAGAAGCTTGTTGAATTAGTCTCTCACCATCTTAATCCTGAAACTACTGACTATGGATACATCAGCCCAGGAATTCTTGGAATTTTAAATCTGATGCAGAAAGACCCAGATACATTTATTAACATAAAAATGAGTACTGATATAACACCTTATGATGCTGTTGTTTCCATTATCACCTCAATCATTGACTTATCTCATGATGGGGAGGAGGATCCTATCTTGAACAAAACAGGGACAGAGCTAGTCATTGGACTCTTGGAGAACCTTCATGGAAAGATTGATGATTCAATCCATCACATCATCGAGCTCCTCGTCCAAGAAATTGGAGATAATACAGATACTTCTGCTAAGAAGATGGTCATCCAAGGTCTTTTAATGTGTTTTGCTTACAACTCTCCTTTGACCTTCAGATTTCTTGAAGAGAAAGACTGGACTCAAGGCGTGTTTCAAGTAATTTTTGAACTTCTGCCAGAGATCAAATATGATTTTGAAATAAAAAGAATGACGTTAGGACTACTCTCAGTAATTTCATGTAAGGAAACCGAGATCCCTCAGCTTGTACTAGAGGCAATGCCAAATATCTTCCAACAAATCCTCCTTTTGTGTCAGAAATCAATCTACAGCAGAGAGCAGAAGGCGAGATCTCCTGAAGAAAAGGAAAAGGAGCAATATGAAAAGTCCTACAATATTCTGGATGACTGGTCTGACGAAGATGAATATGATGAAGACGACGATTATAACCCAGATGACTCAAAGACAGAGAGCGAAGACCTCTACAAGTCCTTCACAGAGAGTGTTGATGAAATCCAGGAAGTAAAGAGTGTAATGCATAGCCTTGGAAGTAATATTTACGATCTTTACTTCGGTAAAGTTCCAAGGGATGATATTGCCTCTCTTGAAAATTGCTTCAGCAGTCCTCTGGTCACAAATTAATCATTTTCAAATTAGAAATATTAGCCAGGGGTTTTGGGGTTTTGGGGTTTTGGGGTTTTGGGGTTTTGGGG